ATACGTCTTTAAGTAATAAAAGTATCGACATTATATCTAGATGTTTTCAATGTCAAAAGCGCACGAATTGTCCCATAAAAAAAATTCGATAGCTTCAAACAATTCACATGCTCGAAAACTTGTTTATGCAAATCGATTTTATAAATTAATCAAGCCCATCGGAGTACAAAACTCAAAATATATGATTGCGCCTTTTTAATCTATTAAAATATGACAAGGAATTTATTGCTTTAAACTTTGAATTATGTAAATTTTCCCGAATTGGTCATGTCCCAATTAATAAATTTTGTCAATAATTTTCAAAATTAGTAATAACTAATGTTAAAGTCCAATCTTCCTGACAATAATAAAGTGTATCTTTTAGATTCGTATTGAAAAAAGTAGAAACTGTTGGAGAATAAATAGAGTAAAAATAGTCTAAATTATTGGCAATATGAATCATGGCAACTGTGCACACAAGAACAGAACATGTCATGTCAGTGATATTTAAATCGGTCAAAGTTTATTGCTCTTATTTATATGTGAAGGTTATATACAGTACACCAAGAGATTGATAGCTAATTTAAAATGTCTGCAGCAGTTAACAACTAAGGCTTGCACCAAGGCTCTCCTCTTAATTGGAGTGGATATTTTATAATTATAACATATCCAAAATAACAAGAGACTCGCGCTAGATTGATGTAATTCCTATTTGACGTCACATCTTTACATGTTACTAGTCCCTGTATAGCCAACGGCGAAGTTGTATTTACTACTGACACTAATTACAACTTAAACTTGTACTATTTAGAAATACAATGACGTCATCGAATTATCTCATGCCATCGTACTGGAGTAGTTACTTATCAATGACCGATTACAGTTTCTGATTCGAAGATGGAACAAATCGGTTATCGACACTACATTCATTTATGAATACGCCTGAATTTAATGAATTTATTAACTACTCTACGACCATTCTACGCAATAAGAACCTATTTTGTATTAATATATTCTGAATCTTGTATTAAAATGCGTAATGCTCATCTTATTTTAAATTAAGTATTAACAAATATTTATAAATACGTGCAGATGCGGTTGACTTTACATCAGGTACATAAATTTGAATACATTAAGCTTGTGTCATTGTTTCAAATAGCGCATACAAATTTTATAAATCTCACAAATAGATTCGTTTTATACGAAATTCAGACAAAGGATAAGTACATATTTGAAATACTTCACGAGTCGTATGGACATGTAATATTATTTTCATTATATATCTGATCGTAGTGGATTTATTCTGTACATCATACCTACGGTGAACCACCCCTAGTATTTTTTTTTTTTACTTTAGACCAACACCTCCTGGCGCCACTTCGGCATAAAGTAGCGCAATATTATCTGATACCATACCAATATTTTTTTGTAAATCATGAAGAATTAATTTGGCTTTCCGCGTAGAATGAAATATTAAAAATCGCACACAAAAACGTGACCATCAGAGATATCTTTTAGTACGTATGTATGTTGCCATCATAAGTTTTCTAAGTATATAATTTAATTGTAAACACTACATGACAAACAGCACAGACACACACGCATCAGCTAACTAGTTGCTAGTGTGTCACCCAAAAGAATAATAAAATAAATAATATAAGAGAATCTCAAGTTTTCCACCCTAAGCATATAAATTTGATATTCACGATGATGCAAGACAAATCGAAGATATTAAATTCAAAAATATCTACTTAACTTAAAGTGAACTCAAGGCTGAGGTAATAGATGGTAAGTGAAGTTATTTAAAAAAATAAAAAAGTAATGAGCTGCAATAAAAATAACGAGTTTTTTAGTTTAATATTAAAATGCGTTTGTTAAACACGTCACGATAGTCGGTTGTTTTTAATACGCCTTAGGAACAGAAGAGTTCGGAAACTTTTTTACAATTTTGTATTTTTTTTATTTTTTTTTTTGACTGGATATTTTTTCTTTATATCCGAGACGTTTTCATGTGGTTACAAAGCAAAGCATTATAGCAAATGTATAAAAACAAAAAGTAATACAAAAATTATTAAATATCCAGTTAATAGAAGCATTGCCTCATTTTAAAGTATTTCGTAGCTCACAGCATTTGATAGACACTTCGTTGATTTTTTGTACTACTATAATAGAGGATAATTGACTTAAACTGGTTAATAAATCGATATTAAATCAAAACTATCCGATTTAAATAGTTGATATGAAAAATTTGTATCGATAATTAATATTTAATACACAAATATTTTATTATATCAGTCTTAATTGTTTAATTGTAAAATAACTTTAGAACAAACTTATAGTTTTAATTCACAATATCTATTACGAAGAAAAACCTTTTTAAGTGAAGATTCTTGGAATTTTTTTACAAATTGAATATCAAAAGGTGCATATTTTAATTAAATAAAACAAAATCTGAAAAAGAAGTATGACAGGACAAACACAGCATGAAAAAAAAACTTTGCAAAGGTCAAATACGTAAAAAATAATCGAATAAACGTAGGTAATTATCAGTAAGCTACACCTATATGTTAATTTAACACATAACAGTGGGTTTCGACGGCAGTGACATTTGTATTAATATATGGTGTTGTCTCTCTTTTTTCAAAGAGGATGAAAGGGATGCAAATAGTCATTAACACAAGTCATAGCAGACTTCTATAGTGAGAAAAAACTTGTCTCGCGTCTCTATGCTAGATGCAAATAAAAGCGATGTGCTCTTAACCTTTCTATAGGTCGGCCCATTCTTTATTTCGAGAAATTATAATTCAAGGTCGGTGTGTCATTACGCCACACCTGTGTAATTTTAGGGTTCTATACTATGATAATTAGTCGTGAAGGTTTATGACAAGTCTAATATGTAATGAATTACTCAATATTAAACGTTTTATGCGTCAAAAAAGTAAATATTAAAATAACATGGATTTGAATGATTTAATATTTTATCATTCAAGTATGAAAGCCGTATTAAATTCGTGTGTAACAATGAGATACTAATAGGTCAACATAAATTAATCAATGCGTTTTAGAGTAATCTTACTAATGTTATAAATGCGAAAGTTTAGATGGATGGATGGATGGATTTTTGTTAGAGTTTGTAGCATAAACGGCTGAACGGATTTCGATGAAATTTGGTACAGATGTGGAGGAGTCCGGAAGAACACATAGGCTACTCACTTTTGTTTTTTTTAATTCCACGTGGACGGAGTCGCGGGTGAAAGCTAGTTTAACATAAATGGAAATTTCACGTTATCTAATTTAACCTTATTCAAATGTTGATTTATTCTTATAATTTTATGTAAACATTAAGCACATCATGTAGTAATACTATTTTTTTTCAAGTCTACGATACTTGTAAAATCCAGTCCACCTTACTCACCTTAAACATCTTATGAGTCGAATAACTCAAGTTCGATTACCGGCGCCTGAGTTAATAACAAAATTGTAATAATTAATGATGTAAGACGTGATGTATTCGGGCAAAGAAAAAACACTAAGGCAGCGTTCCCACTACGCCGGAACCTGGCCTAAGGAAAAATATACAGCTCCGTTTGTAGTGTTTAGAATACTTATATTTTTTTGTGAATTGTATATATTTTAATTATGTGTAATTAATCTTACATGATTTAAATAAATAAAAAAAAATAAAGTGTCGCCAGGTCAATAATAGTGTTTGATAAATCTATACAAATATACACTTCTTCGTGGCGTAGGATGTCAGCAATCACAGCATCTTCATGAATAAATATTTTAACAAAAACCCTACATTTACGACACGCTTTAGGTTATATATATTCACGCTTTCGACTATATATTTTAAACTTAGAGGGTAAGTAAATTGAAAAAACTTAATATGGGAAAGAGACCATAATCTACAGGCTGCCAACATTAGGAAGCAAGGTTATTATGGTAACAGGAATTTTGACATTTGCAATTTTTTATAATTACATGCGGATGAAGCCGCACGGGAACGCTTCTTTTTTGAAAACTTATAATCGAAAGGGCCGACTTGTTTGGGGCTATTTGGTATGTCTGTGAATTAAATGTTACTCTAAAAAATTGTACTTATTTTTTGCCTAGTATTATTTTCTGTATAAAAACGAGGCCAAGCAGGTCTATTTTCCCACAAAGCTAGACATACCAAAAGTCCAATATTTTACAATGCAAAGTTTTATTAGTTTTTAAAACCAATGTTTTTTCAACGGTCAACGGTCATTTGAAGTCAATATGACCTTTTATTATTACGACGTCTGCCTCGGTATTCATTTGGTTTATTTTTCATACGAACACAAGTTTTGCACTTGTCCTTCTTCGTAATAGTAATGTTGTATTATGCAAATTCTTGAATAAACACTGGCATAGTTTTTTTTTTTTCATCACAATACAAGGACATAAGACTTGAGTTAGTCGCAACGTTTATTCGAACTCCTACGACAAATACATTTGTTTAATTTAAAGCCTTTACCACGAAATAATGCTTTATTCATTACATAAAATCAACTGTCTTAATTTTGTTAACTTAATAAACGTAGCATATAAACTCACGAACATTGAAATTAATGCTGAGTACAAAATTATTTTACTTTTAAAAGACAAACAATAAAAATCCTAGATCTATTTTAATCGTGTGTTTCAATTTACAGCTCCTTAACTACACTAAAAGAAAATTACTAAATTGTCAAAAATCAACAATACCACAAACATGGACGTTCCGGCTCTAGAACAGAATCCTGTTCTGTTCTATAACTTCCATGTATTGTTGACTGATTAGTCAGAAATTAAATATTAGATCGGCCTCACGGGGATCATTATCACAATGTATAATGCGTAATGAATCTTAATACCGCTAAATCAAGTTAACCGCATTTCAATAAGATGTTTATTTTTAAACTACGCTTCTAAAATCTATAACATCAGTATGGATACACAAGCGTAAATAACCACAAATGATAGATGTAATACGTGTAAGTAGAAATAAAATAAAAAAAAAATATTATTTTATTTTGAACACATAATTTATTGATCCAATTTTAAAAAAACATATTGAAACAATTACCAAGTTAATCTCATTACATGATCAGTCTTTCTCTTAGACGATTTTATGAATCCCAGGAACTGAAGCTCTGCTACGGCGCGGCTAAATCGTGCCCTGAAAGAAAAAAATTAAATTGTCTCTTGCCACTATCGTAACATCTATACCATAAGGTATAGTACAGTATCTATGGTTTTAGTAAGATGAAAAATCATACATTTCAAAATACAATATGCAAAACAATTTAGTACCGCATCATACCAAATGAGGATGATCGAATGTGTATAGTAAGAGCGCACACTTTTCACTAAACTATCGCACAACTGTGGAGGAGCGCACACTACTCGATTTTTAGTTGTGCAACTAAACAGTTGAATGGGATGCAAAACAATTGACAATCGCACACAGTCGTGCGATAGTTTAGTCAAAAGTGTACGCCCGCGGTAAATGCTAAACAGTAGTAATTACATCCATCGTGACTACGAATATGAATAAAATTACATTATAAGAAATTTGCATTCACTTATCCTTGCAAACGTAACAACTAGCAAATAAAAAGTAGTACGCATAAAGCAGACGTGCAAAGTGTCATGGCCGCTATCCACTTGGCAATCGCTCGTGTTGCAAATCAAACATTGCTACTAACAGATTTGAACCCGGAACAAGGACATTTAAAAAAAAATTTCAGTAAAAAATATCACAAACTACAATTCTAAGATTTGCTTGATATTTTTTGTTATAGTCTAAATTGTAAACACTTCATCCCACGTTCTCGGCCAATTCTACCTGAATCGCGTTGAGAAGCAAAAAGTCACTACTGGCAACTTATTTACATAATTTTAAAAATTAACGATAGATTGAAAACAAACATAAGACTCAAAAAAAGGTCTCCAAAATTGTACAATCGATGAATTTTCAAATGACACAAGTGATGTGATAATTGTCCTAAAATTGATAGTCACATGGCGTCATAAACTTAATTATGCTAAATGAAAATAATACGTTAATAATGCAAAAAAGGAAGAAGATAGAGAAGGAAGATATAGTAGATAGTCAATAAAACTTGTGCAATACAAACAATCAAGCCATATGATAGTTGTTACTCTTTCTCTTTGGTTATCTCTTTTTATCTACCCCTCTCTTTTCTATCTCCCACCCAATCTCAATCTTTCACAAGAACTATATAATAAGTAATATGGAACAGAAATCTCTTATGGGTTTAAGCCCCTATCTGATAACCGCCCAGGGCGTGTAACAGATATTCTCCGTAACCCCCGGCACAGTAGTATACATAAAACATTTCCCTCTGGAATTAAAGGTGTAAATTTGAAAGGGGCGCATCAACAAATTACTTCCACATGTGTTAAGTCCGTAGAAACCCAGAACGTTAGTAGAGTCAAAAGTTTTAAAAATATTATAAAAAAATATATATTGGAACGAGTACTCACTGTACAAGAGGGTTTTGGTGCGCTTGTTCGTCGTCGGCGGGGTGGAGCACGGCGGCGAAGGCCTGCAGCCAGTCGTACAGGTTGATGTGCTTGCCGCACTCGCGGTGCAGCTTGTACGCCAGCGACACGTCCGGCAGCGCGCCCGACACGCTCGCTCCCCTCGCCGGCCCGCAGCACTTACACTAATCGATTCACACCGCAATTGGGTTTACGGACACTTTCATATTATTACGTATTAAAATAAATAAATAAATAAAATAAAAAAACACATTTCGTATCACGATTATACACTAACTAGCCGATGCTCGCGATTTCGTCAAGAAAATCAGTAAAGACTACGTTTACTCAGTGATAACATAGCTTTTTAATGGTGCAAGATTTATTCAAAGCGGTCTAGTAGTGTTTGAATAATTTCCATCTATACATCCATTCACATATCCATCCTTACTTTCGCATTTATAATATTAGTAAGTTTGAAAGTTATAAAGATGATACATGATTGTTTATGGTACCTGTAAATAATGGTGGGGGTCGCTGAGCGCGGTGTGCACGGCGCCTCGCGGGGCGCCGACGATCTGCTTCTTAACACTGGCCACGTCGCTGAAGAACACCAGCTCGTGGAAGGTGTGGTGGTGGTGCGGGCGCAGGGCGCGCGCCAGCGCCGCGCACAGCCAGCTCGCGAACCGGCCGCGCACCAGCTCGAACTCCGACTGCACGCGCTCCTCGCGCGTCGCACGGAGCAGCTTCTAACATCACCACATTTACAGATCTATTACTAGCTGTTGCTGGCGACTAGAAGAAATTAATAATAAAATATATAGCCTGTTTTACTCAGAGATAACATAATTTTGTAATGGTGAAAGAATTTTTGAAATCGACCCAGTAGTTTTTGAGTTATTTCAATGCATAGAAAAAACAAATCATTACTTTTTATAATTTTCGTATAGATAAATCACGTAAAGGTCGAAACTGGGTATTTCGGAAAAATCACGAAACATCAGGTGAGAGGGGTTATAAAATAAGATATCGGGCGTAATTTTCCCTGACTGAAGTTAAATAAGTTTAATAAACTAATTATTATTTTGAAAATAAATAAATTTGCTCTATGATAGAATAACACAAACTTTTTAATGTAGTTTAAAGCCTTACCACATAAAGGGGATGAGTCAAAAGGCTGTTAAAAAACATCACGTGATTATCGGATCACAGTTATTAGATATTTAATTGTAGCAGTAAGTTACGAAGGAAATCCTTTACTTTAAATTTAGTAAGAGATCCATACACTAGGCTTAACTAATTTTTAAACATCTCTGAGTAAAACAGCTAGATAATTACATACCTCTTTTAATTTATATCTATCCCCTGGTACTTCTGTTTTAATTTCTACATCATCCCCATCGTAATCAGTTAATACTGCAGCATGATTGTTGGCATTTTCTATTTGTCTTAAAAACATCATTAAATGTATCCTCATTGTTTTCATTAATGTTTCACCAACAGCATTGTTAATAGATACATCGATCTGGTCGTTTTTAACTGGCGTTGATCGTAGTGTTTTAATCGGAGATGTAATTTGTAAAGAATCATTTACTACTTTCAATGCATCTTTTATACTTTCCACTAATTTATATTGTGATTGAAAATTTATTAATTGCATACATTCACGAAAAGCTTGAGTACTGGTTATATTTTCGATAGCACATTTTGAATAGATTTCACGAACCTGAAATAAAATAATAACCATATATAAAGTATTTATCTTAAGAATTAGAATTTGATGGCATTTGATTTTATTTGATTAACATATAGTACTAAAGCAAAATTAAAAAATCAATAAAATTAACATAATTGAAAAGTACTTACAGATTTCCCTAAAACATTCTTCGGTAAATCCTTAATGAAGACAAACAATACTCTAATACATGAATAAAAACTAAACAAATAATCGTGTAGTTCGTGCATTTTCTTGCACAATATTTCTCTGAAGAAATTATCATCTTCAAATAGTTTAATTTTTATTTTGCAACTCTGTTCCTCTAAGTACGGTCTGAAAGACATTAACTGTCGGACATTTTCCAAGTCATATGCAGACAGAGCTGCGACAGCTGAATCTATGTCTTGTCGGTCACAACAAAGTGTTTTTATATTGTCACCATAGTAATGATCCATCATACAGTACTGAAATGAGGAAATTAAGATAGATATTAATACAATAAGTAAACAAATACTACGAATTAGGGTTCAAAAGTACACTCGTTTTATGATTGTAGGTTATGAAATATACAACTATCTATACTAATCTTAAAAAGACGAAAGATTTGCATTTTTGTATGTATTGAAATACTGGGTTTATTACAAAAATTAATTTACCATTGAAAAGCTACATTATTACTGAGTAACAGAATATATTTTTTCGAAGTCGAAACAGCTACTTTAAAATAAATATACAAAATTGTATAAAAAAAAGTAATATAAGTAAACTAAGTATTTTAGAAAATAAAAATTGTAGATTACAGTGTACTTCCCTTTTGTACCATTCAAATATACTACTATGGCTATGAAATACTTGTATATAGTGCATACTAAGCATAGTATCATAAAAACTGTGTAATCAATTCTGTCCAACTGGAAATCTGAACTTTATTAACAAGGAAAGTCAATTACAATATCAATTTACCTTTATACTTTGTAACAGTCCAGCAACCGAGAAATCATAGAAAAGAAATACATCTGTTAACAATTCAAACGCTTTTCCAGAAAGATGAAAAGGACTTGTGTGTGTCAAGAAGATGTTTTCCAAAACCTGAAAATGTATAATAAAAAATCATATTACAAATAACATAGAACACCCCAATAATTAAATTATAATGGATGCAATGCAGGTAATATTTATTAAAAACTAGCTTAAACCCGCGACTCCGTGGGCGTGGAATAAAAAAAAAAGTGAGCCTATGTGTCCCTCCAAACTTTCCTCTTTGTCTGTGTCAAATTTCATCGAAATCCATTCAGCCGTTTAGGCTACAAACATACATATATAAATACATATTTACATTTATAATAAGATTAGATGCCAATTTAGAACAGAAGTAGCGAATATATCAGTGAAATCTAACTATAGTGTGCATACCAGTTACTGTCACCTGGTTTTAAAGCAATGTGGATACACATGCCAGTAAAACGGAAAAGTATCTGGCATGCCTAGTTTAAAGTAAACATCGTACTAGCTACTAGCATAGCATTTAGTGTTAGTTAGATTATGTATTTCTAATTAAACATTAGTTTAAAATTGCCTAAAGTTCTTACTTGATTCATATAAACAGGTGATGAATGTGAGTGGAAAACCTTCATGAGTAATTTTGAAGATACATGATATGGAAACGACTTGTGTAACGCAGAAACAGATGTTGCGACTCCAAACACTAGTACTATTGGCAGTTTAGATATATATGAACTAAAATAAAAAAAAAGAACACGAAAAAAAGATTACATCTACAGAAATATACATAATAAAAAAAATATGAACATAAATTAATATTGTGACTTAAAAACATGAAATAAAACTACTAGCAAAAAGTATGTAAAACAATAATTCAAGAAAATAATTGTCTATCTAAAATCCAAATAAGAGAAAAAATCTAAAATAACATCTAAATCTATCTAAAATCTAAAAGAAAAGAATAATCCAAATAAACTTACCTAACAATCATAACAAAATCTTGCAAAACATTACAATGAAAACTCTCAAAGTCAGGTATTATAATAATAAGTGGCCTTTTTATATTCACTTTCTTTTTCTTACTCGGTGAATTATAAACACATATATTTTGATACCAACTGTGCAAAGCCTTCATGGTACACTGATTTTTCTTTAATTTCGGCACTTTATATTCCATACTAACATCCAAATTATCATCCATTGAATAGTCCTATAATAAAAAACCAAAATTATAGCAACACTTCAAATTAAAAGATTTTGGCCAATGCAGATTTAATTTTACAATACATCCTTTTTTACACTCTCCTATTTATTTTTTGGTATTAAAAACACTAGCACATTAGTCAAGTCCATTAGGTTTAAAAAGTTAATTAGTAAAATATATTTATTAAAATACTAGCTTTCGCCCGCGACTCCGACAGCATGGTAATAAAAAATGTTAGCAGCCTATGTGTTCTTCCAAACTATGCTCTACATCTATGCCAAATTTCATCCTAATTCTTTTAGCCGTTTAGGCTACAAACTCTAACTAAAATACATGCACCCAAACTTTCACATTTAATATTAGTAAGTTAATGTAATATAAATAATATACTAAATAAACATTAAAACTAACCAACATTCCTTGTCCATTTATCAATTGCCAAACAACATTCTCTACAAGTAACTTGATTGTTGACCCATCTTGTGAATTAGTCATAGCAATGTGTGGTGTTACATTTTCTCTGAAACATATATATTTATGTTGTTAATTTAGACATAAAATAATTGAGTGGATGGCATGTTATATAAATCTTAATCATGCTATTTACAAAAGGAACAAAAACTCCAAGTAATAGCAGCCAAGAAGCAAGACTACCATGGTAATGGTAATTGTAAGTCAATGACAAAACACTTTGTTGATATTAACTGACTTCCCAAAAAGAGGAGCTTATATTGTCTGTTTGTATTTTGTTAAGTATTCCAATTTTGAAATGTGCAAAACAATGTAAACAATTAGTAAATTGGGGAGGTCCAATGCCTTGCACAAAATGCATTGCACCTTCATTACACATGTTTCTTTTATACCTTATTAAATGTATGAAAGCATTAAACTGAGAGACATGGTCTGGTTGGTTGACTCCAGTTATCAGTGTTGCAGTGGGTATAACTCCTTCTATTGCTGCTAACTCATTGTTCATGTGATGAAACTCTATATAATTGACAATGTCATTCAGTAATGTACTATATGTTTGATGATGCAGTTCCTGAAACAGAGAAAGTGATAATACAATAAAACTTCATTATATTTAGTGTCACAGATGGGACCAGTAGTAAATTGAAAAGAAACATTATATTGCCAGTTTGATAAGTAAATAACATTAATAATTGATAAAACAAATGAATGAATTTTTACTCTTTTTATTGCTTTTTGAATTCTTATGAAAAACAGTACTATAAATTCTAAATGAATTTTATCTTATTACTTTGGTTATACATATTTTTACCTTTATATTAGCTTCAAACAAACTCCACCTCTGTTGAAAACACTGATACCAAGGCTCTTTTCTAAACCGCGATTGAATCCATGCTTTATGTTTATGTTTAGGTTTTGAACTTTTTTTGAATCCATTTTTAAATAAAAACACACCCTGTAAAGTGATTTGATATTAGAGACTAAAGCGTATGTGTATATTATTCAACATAATATATAGGCTATACCTTTGATACAGAGACTGTTTCATCTTTATCCATAATAACTAAATAAACTTTATGATGTAAATATCCAAATTTTTTTAGATGGTTTCAGTACTTTGGGCCATAGTTTGCAGAAATTTGAATGGTACGAAAAGACATACAATTTCGTAACAATTTTTTTTTTATCAAATTAAGACTTAAAGAGACGAATATGTAAATAATAATTTAATTGTTTTAATATACTTAATTTTAAAATTTATTATATAAATTAAATTTAAAATTAAAACAAATTCTTAAAATGACATTGACACTAGGTTTAAGTTTTCAACTTTCAACGGTTAACAATTGACATTGACAATTTTTCGTTTCGTGTTTCATTTTAATGTTAGATTTTTTTATTTTACAATAAATCTCTCTTCACCGTTAATTGACGCTTATGCTTGTAATTGAAATTATTCAACGGAAGGATTAAATATTGTAACACGGTAACAAGTACTGTATTAAACATTTTTATATGCCATATGTTTCCATCTAGCACATATTTTGCGCAAAATATTATCATCACTAATATTTTTTCTGAACTGAAAACATCACTGTCACTATAGCTGTCAGCTGTCAATCGCCACCTTATGTCAGCTTTACCTATATTTATTTAGTAAATACATATGGTTTAATGTTAATGCTATTGTTTATTGTAAATTTACTATAAGGAGGTGTAGGTTAATGTTAGAATTAAATAAAACCTTTTCATTTCCACAACATTTATTATAAGATTAATTAAATAGTATATAGTAGAGATATTGTAATTTACATTTGAAGGTTTGATGCTAGACCACATTTAAATTCAGAGTTGTATTTATTCATTACAGACATAAGACATAAAATGACTAGAGCGAAGAATCGATCCTATAAGATTTTAATTGACAATAACAATTTATGGAATGTATCACCAAGCAAAGGTATTTGTCTGATTACAGATACTGAGAGGGTTCTGATATTTGCCTACTATTTTTTTTTAAACTTCGCATAGGGGTTCTTTGACACATGCAGCGCCACTACAATTTTTTATTTAAAGTGAACTTGCTAAATAATATACAAATTTTTACATAGAATTAAGCTCTCACATCAAAATTTTTAATCATTTAGGTCAGATTATTTACATTATTATTTGCATGTAAACACTGTAACAATATTGAGTGTCACATTGTAAAAATAAACAAAAAGTTGATTGAAACATTGAGAGTTTTAATATGATGCAAGGTAATTTTCCAGTAACTGAAATAGATTGGACCAGTATTGTCCTTTTTTCTATTTTACAATAAATCGCACATTGACATCATTTGTACTAATGGCTTTTTATGCATTTAAAAAGTCACTGAATTTAAACAACCTCTACTACCAAATAATTACAAGGAAAAAAGAAAGTATAAATTATTACTGGCTGAGAGCAGACAAGTTATTGTATAACCATTCTAATTAATGAATCATTGAAAACCATAATAAACCTGAGTATTGTGAGAGCTTGTTTTAAAACATTTAAGTACAATAGATAGTGAATATTGTACATTTATTGTGCTGCGGCCTGAGCTCTAAGTTTTTTTTTAACGGGAATACAAATGTAAACATTGCAGTTTTCTACTTTACATTCCTTCGCATGCATCACGACGAAGCCTACCAACTCTCGACATATGGGGCAGTTTCCTATGGCCTTTCTTGAGCACCGCTTGGTGTGTGCTATCATTTTTTTAATCTTACGGCAGTCTTCTAGACATATTATTCTGCGGCAAGTGCTTGTATGTTCTAGTGTCCACACGGCTCGCTTGATCACTTGTAACCTGGTTTCTGCACGCATTTTAAAGCAATGTTTTGTTTTTAAAACTTGCTTAATAACACTTGTTGCTTCTATGGCAACAGCAACTGGAAAAAAGAATTAAATAAGCACATATAACATGAACAACGGTGGGTTAGATTTTGCAAAGCACATATACACTACAAAATTGACTATATTTTCTAAATCATCTCTCAAGATCACAAGATTTTATTAGCCCAGAGAAAGAAACAAGATATCTAGAATTTTCGCACAGCAGAATCTTTTTTTGTACAGTTCATATAATACAAATGATTTGTATACATTTATAAACATGGGTGTCGCCAGCCGGTTATCTAGTATAGTCTATAGGGCCAGCTATTTCAGGAGTATTTAATACGTATTTTACATATTTCTTTTCTGTAGGGGGAGCTCCCCCTCCACGTCCCTGTCGACGCCCATGTCTATTTTACTTTTTGCTGGGTAACATAACATTATGCAAAGAAAAGTTAAAGCGTGAAAATTATCTGGCAATATTATCGAATATAAGATAAGTTGAAACTTTACACCATAATGGTATATAAATTTAATAAACAAAAACCTCAAATGTACTATTATTTAAAAAAATATTAAACACGACATTCACGAAATGCTTTTAGCAATTATATTAATGTTTATAGTGAATATCTTACCTTAGTTGTTTAGAACATGACGATGTAAATCAAAAATGCAGAAGAGATATGTACGGTGCACAGGACACACCTAGCGAATAGATCAATACTAGACGAGCGCCGCGCGCAGGTCTTTCGGTGGCACCCCAGCCAATTCCACCGACTGCGTCCCACGCTCACCTGGTCTGCTCAATACCTCCAGGTAACAGCACAGCCATTATCCATACGCATGCGTTATATTTTTGTTTTCGTTTGGAATTAAGAATTGTTGTTTTGTTTTTGTTAATTATATTAAGTACATGCTCTCATATCTGAATGAAAACATTGTAATGAAACTTACAAACATCAAGTCGACGCAGTAATTCAAAGATATCTGAATTCAACCAACCCAGCAAGCACGGTTGGCTAAGCCCTAGGTACTTATGCTACGAGCCCCGCGCTGGGCAGATTACTGCAGAGAGCTGACGACAATGCTACCTAATATGAGATTTTTTTTAATTCTTGTTTCTGGCTGCGATATTACGAATTTAAAGAATTAACAATTTTTATGTCGCACTGTGTGGCTCACTGGCTATAATAATGAGGCAGTTATTTTAAAATAATGTACGGTTCGTAAAGACTTTGCTTCAAAGGATCTTTTTTTATTATAAATTGCGTAACCGTTCATAAGGAAGATTTCGTCAGGCGTTGTATAAATTAAATACTTTTGTTTAAATACATTTTTTACTCTAGTTAAATTTAATTGACATTAAATTTATTTACATTTTATAAGGAATACGAATTAAATAAAAATGGAAATAACAGAAACATGTATTTATTGTCAAAAATTTATAATAGAATAGTATGAAAATACTATTTTTTTTATCGCATATTTACTTACAATATACGGATGTTTGTATTTACACAAAAATAAAGGTTGACAATATAGCTTTTTACAAATATTCTAAATGAAACCTATGTTTTTATCTTATACTGACAATTTATAATATACACAATATCATAAGATAATATTAAAGGAAAGCAAGACCAAGTAGATATAATTCTTCTATTTTTATTGTCTAGTTGCCCTATAACTAAGTAGCGATTTAAGAATATTTGCCATTACACTATTTTTTTTCGTTAATAATCATTTAAGTTGATAGTAGTTGAGGTGAAGTACACTTGGACATGGCAATGTTATAGCACCATTTTTAAAACTAGCGTTTATTTCTAAGGTAACCTATGCTGGCTAGCCATACTCGTCACGTAATGGCGGAATTTAAAAATGAATCAATGATTTTTTTTGAGAATGTACTTTTTTTTGAGAACGCGTATAAAAACGCCTCTCAACGACAGTATAGTTTTCTGAATTGTTATTGCGATTTGCGATATCCATTTGAAGTAAAAAATACTGGACGACTTTTGTGTATAAACATACGTCAGAAATCCTAAGTATCATTTAGTGCCTGATTTTCCAATAAAATTACATTATTATTATTTAATAAGAGTATTATCAATACGATTATCTTATCAAAAGGTCTGCTATTAATTCCTAATAAAAAATTAAAGATTTCACTACATAATTAACGTTAATGTTCGCAAATAAGTAACGTAATTAAAGTAAAATTAGCATCCATAAGATATTGGTCCATAGTCCATTTGATCGGTTAAACATAAGGTAAATTTAAACATAAATAAAACTTTAGTTGTCACTGCGTTGGTGATCGTGGAGGTAACGCTGATTCCTCGCACGGGGAATGGCGTTCTTCTTCCGTACTGAATTTGTACTCCCTTTCCCCGGATTGGTGTTCAGAGCCGGACGGTGTGTTGCGACCCTCCCCACTAGTCGCTTCTAGCGTAGGCCCGCTTGGGCCAAAGGACATACCATCAGTACCGTAAGCCACTTCCCCAGTGCCAACGTATTCCGAAGGTTGGTAGCCGTATGTGTTTAAACTGAAAAAGAACAAACCATTTATTAACTGGGCATTACTAAAAGACATTACTATTCGTGTTTGTCCTAAAATTAAGTAGAGTTCGACTCGTACCGTAATTCTCAATGGCGATTTAGTCAATTTTAACGCGATAAAAACAAAACTCGTGATGTGAGTCCGCTGATGTCATCTTAAATGATACGATGACGCAACATTAAAATATTTACCTGTTTGGCCAATAAGAAATGTCTTCTATAGCGTGATGAGCGTACGGGGCGTATGCGTGTTGATAGTAGGGCGAGTGGTGCTGCGCGGGAGCGTCGTACTGGAGGGGGTAGAGCGGGGCAGGCGCCGCGGCCGGCGTGGCTGTGGCCGCGGGGGCGGGCGAGTACTCGAGAGGCGCGGGGTAGGCGTGCGGTGGCGTGCGGTAGGGCGCGGGCGAGGCGGGTTGCGGCGGGCTGTTTTGCGCCGCGCTCCAGTACCCGCTGCCCGCCCACGTGTAGCTGCTACTACCGTTGGACGCGCCGGCAGAAGAACGTTCCGCGTTGCTGTACGTAGCTGTACAAACATAGTTATTAGTATTAAACAAAAGATGTTATGTAATACAAACTATTCCTATTAATGCTATTTTAATTACTTTTTACTTTCCAAAATAAAAAAAAACTCGAAGCAAAAACGCCTTTCGTTGAACAGTACCTAATAATTAAGTCAGGGTTATGTCATAAGAGCAGTTCTAGCCGCTTCCTAGTGTCGAGTTTTAACTTACAAGGTGGCGATAGTGTCCTAGGTCTTGAAGGTGGCCGCGGCGGGTACGGGGCCGGTCTTCTCGACACGGTGTTACTGCTGCCGTACAACGACTGAGATGTAACGAACCATCCGCCAACTGTAATTCAATATTAGCCTCATTATATCCTTTTAGAAAACGAGTTTAACAATTTTAAGTGTCTACAGCAGTATTAGGTGCAACATATACTAAGACCTCGACACCCAGGAGAAACGATCTAGTGACTTATAAATTTAAACAGATAAAAGTTCTACGTTCACTTACATTGTGGGTATTGATGCGGGGAGTTACTTTGTTGTGGGTAATGAGTTCCAACGAAGTCCCTTTGATAGTATCCCTCCGGTCGTTCTTTCGCATCGAGAAAAGCTTTCGCGAAGGGATTATATTTTATCTTGAGGGAAGTGACTTCTTCATTCTGGTACGCCGTGACGGCTATGAACTGTGTCTCTGGAAACGGGTACGTCATGATGCGGCGCAGGTCCGTACCAACTTTCACCAGATGCACCCGCGGTTCGTACTTGTGCAGTGAGTTCAGCATTATCTTTGAAGAAATCAGTTTATTAGATTTATCTTTTAAATTCCATGTGGCAAGGAACAACACAACTCTCGTTTGTTGTCCAAAAGGTGTGGCAGAAAATACCATTTAATTTATTACATGTCTACTTGCCGTAACATACTTTAAGTAAATTAAAAATGTATATTTTATCTTTCGATTTACTGTACAGATCAAATTATCGATCATACCTAAGCTGTGAATTTTAACACCGTAGGAAATCACACCATTCGATTAATAAAAAAATATCTATACGATAGACATGTGTAGATTTTGTATTAATTCAAATATTAATCGATCTAATTATAAAGTTTTGATAACCTTCGTATTCTTAACAATAAGTAATACAACAAACTACTAAAGTCAACATTTACACAAAATCCTAAGTTGCAACGTAATACGGATGTTGCAATAAATACATCTAGTTAATAAAGATAAAGAAACTATTATCATAAAAAGATAGAAAGGTAAACATAGCGTAGAGACAATAATTATTACAAATGATAGTGCGTACGGGCGCCCGCTAAATAGTTGGTAAAGCTACAGATTTCACACCGAGACGTCAACATATGGATCTGGATGTATCTAATGTTTACTCTCATATTCATTCGCGGCACATATACAAGCGTGAGAAATGACTCGTCGAACTCGCGCTCGCGGTAGCCACGGAACTGTAGCGGGATCGCACCTCCGACTAACTGACTTTCTATTATCAAAAATTAGTATTCTGTCTGTTCGGATGGTTGTTAATTATGCGCGGCCCACTGTACACGCACAATGGACCGTCTATAAATATGAAACGACCATCATTGTTTCTTAACTATCTATCTCGTTAATACGCCGTTAAAATTTAATATTTTACTTGATGGTTTTGCTATAAAACTTGTCTTGTCCTAATTTGCAATATTGTTTTCAGCTTTATCCATACTCTTGTCTATTGTGTGTTAATATTAACTTTTAATATACAACAATATTGCTGTTAAAAAGCTTGATTAGTAATTTAATTCCACCAGTAGTCGGCTACAACATAGTCAAGATCAAACAACTAGACTATAAAAATGAAATAACTACTATTGTATATATGTACCTATGCTTGGAGCCTAATTCCACAATATAAACATAATAACTCAAATTATTTAATTATTGATATCTAGTTTAGAACCAAAGGGCACACAAATCTACAGATATTCATTTGTCAAGAAAATTATCTTTTCCTTTTCTCTACTTAACATTCATACCTACATCAAAGCTCAAACATAAATGTTAGGTACCGATACATCAACTTTATCGTCATCATCAACTCACTACACGTCCCCTCTGAGGGGCTCTGAGCCTACCCGAAATTATAATTGACTAGGCCTTAGTCAACCACGTCGGCCCACTACGTGTTGGTTGACTTCACACATATCTTTGAATTTCTTCTCCAATATGTGAAACTTCATTATATCAACTTGATACTACTGTGATAATAATTACCTGTCCATTTCCGTTAGTTTTATTCGTGAGTTTGACTTTAGCAAATGATATTGGTTCCTTCATCCAATGTGCACCGAAGTTTGGGCTCTCCGGGTGAATGTAGATGGCGTTGGAAGGTGGGACTTCTGCTTTTCCACCGGGTACCTGAATAAACAATGCTATATAGTGTCAAGTAATCATAGTAGTCATTTTCCTTAAAACAAGTAAAAAACACTTTAAAAGTAGAACTAGGTTAGTTAGTTAGTTCTTTTATGAAAATAGTTAGTAATACGAGCATAAAAATATCTTACCCATTCTCCGTTGACGTATTTCCATCGATGTGAGTCGACCTGCACAAACTCCAATAATACCGTATACATCGCCGTCGGGTCAAGTCCACTCGCCGTCACTTTTACGACAGGAAACATACGTCTGGAACAACAGAAAATGATGTGAAAACCAGCCTAGTACGAAATATCATCCAATTCGGCCCGAAGCACCAGGTTTTGTTTCCTAGGTTAATCTATCGTCTGTTGTTTCAGTCATGACTCCGTTCATATTGAACACTATCGTAACTGAAATGTTTATTGTCCTATGACCTAACCAAGTAACTCATCAATAGATCTAAAGTTTCTTTCAATTAGTGTCCACATCTAAGTGAAAAGGGTTATTTATAAAGTACTTGAGTATTTCTTATAACCACGATATTACAAATTTAGCTCATGTATCAATTTTTACTTAAACGTAAATTAAAAATCATATCTAGAAAACTACCGTGTCTAGTCCTAGCCGTAAATATTGTCATATCCAGCCCGCAAATTAATTTTAAGTATTTAAAATCACTAAGAACAATAAGTTTTGAATTCCACATTTATGTAAAGAGCTACAGTAGTAAAGCCGCATTGTTCGTGTCAGAAATAAATTAAGCAGTCATGTTCAATTTGAAAGTAAAGGCTGCGTAGTTTTAAAAACGGTAAATACTACATATTCTTTTATTTTTTGGTGAATACTTAAATGTGCAATTTCATTACAATTTTACCCAAATTAACGCTGACAAATTACGATTGAATATCGGTCACATTCGACATTTGCTTATTGAATATTAAAAAAAAATAACCTAAAATATGTTACTTTGTCGATTCAAATCTTAATTTGTAATACTCGTATGTCTTACTAATATAATAAATGCGAATGTATGTATGGATAATTCATCATCATCATCAGCCTTTATCTGTCCACTGTTGGACATAGATATGGATATTTGTTACATAAAAATAATTGAGTTTCGTCCACGAAAAGAGACTATAAAAGCGGGATCGACTGATGCTTAGTGCTTACGTGGACTCAAGGGTGCTAGGCACACAACTCATCGGGCGGTGTCGTTTAGTGAGGTCGTGTTAATCAGCAAGACCTACAGTGTTAATAGCTGAAAACTAGTCTCCGTTCGCGCGCCGTTAGCACCAGCGAAAATATCCTACATATATTATTTGATAACAATGCAAAACGCAAGATTAACAACGTCATTTATGAATTTTATGTGTATTAATGTAACTACAAGCTTTCGCCCGCGACTCTGTTCGCGTGGAATTAAAAAAATAACAAAAGTAAATAGCCTATGTATTCTTCCAGCATAAACTCTACATCTATATGCAAAATTACATCGAGATCCTTTCAGTAGTTTAGGCTTCAAACTCTAATAAACATCGATCCAATCTTTCGCATTTATAATATTAGTATGATTTTTACTAGGACGATTTCGTAGGTTGTTGTTAAAAGACAACTGTTAAAATAACTTTCGTAATATTTTATTTTACGAAAGTGAATACAACAATTAGTGTCGACTTCGCATTTTGTTTTAATTATAAAGATTTGACCTTTATATTTAATTCGTAATAAAATAACAATAGGAGATGATTTGTTCGAAGTTTTAATATGTTCGTACGCGACGCGACACCGGCTATAAACAATATTGTAAGATGTATTGTGCATTTCAATGTTGTATCTTGTTCTTTTAAATTACCACTGACTGACTCACCATAAGACGACCAACATGTAATGACTCAATATTGTATTCCATTTTAAGTACTACTTACTACGGTTTTACTATTAAAAATAATATACGAAGTGAACTGTCATTATTTTTTTTATTATATTTTATAAGAACGTCGTTTGCGTATATTTTATGGATGTATCCAGTAATTTATGATAAAAAATTAAACAATTACACTTCTGACAATTGGACAATCTTAATTTTAATCTATACAAATTACAAATAGGAAAGATTTGTAATTTTTGTATGTATTCGATTTAAGTATAAACTATTGGACCGATTTTAATAACTATTTCACCATTAGAAAAGTAATTTATCTGTAAGTAACATAGGCTACATTTTTAATTTCAAGCGGACAAAGTCGCGAGAAACAGCTAGCTAGTATTATAAATGCGAAAGCTTGGATAGATGGATGTATGCTAGTTAAAGTGTTCAGTCGAAACTGTATATCTGATCTCGATGAAATTCGGCATAGCTGTAGACATCTAATAATCTGGAGTAACATAAAGACTACGCGCTTTTTTTTATGCCACGTGAACGGAATCGCGGACGAAAGCTAGTTAAACATAAATAAGCAAATGTGAAATGAATTAGTTATATAATGTTATTAATGTACGTACCTTCCATTTTTGGTGACAATCATCTCATTGGTGAGGGTCTGAAAGCGCACCCAGAGGTCGCGGTCATCGAGTGCTACGCCGACCTCGCGTTCGCGGCCGCCGCGCGCTCCGCCGCCTACGCTCGGTTCCACCGCGCTAAGGATGTGCGACGCAGCCATCGATCACACCTGAAATACACATTTTTACCTTGGACGTTAGAGTAAATTAAATGTGTTTACTTCATTCACCATGAACATTCTTAATCTATGAGTATGACGAACACCTTTTGAAGTACCCTTCAGCAGTAGACAGCGGGCTTAAGATACCTAACAGGAAATGAACATCTTTCGAGAATAGTTTTAATGAGAATTGTTATTGTCACCTACAATTTTAACGCTGTAAATAATTTTGAAGAGTGGAGGATCATTGGATTCATATTTTTTCTACGAATTTTCTTTGTCAGGTAGCGTGATGAATGCGGAGGGTAGTTAGTCAGTTTTGAAATGGTTTCCATTTAAATAAATTAATAATTGTAAAGTACCAAATATACAACAGTAAGGTCTCTAATATTAAAAAGAAACGAATATGTGTGTATAAGTTTTATTTCAAAGTGCTTATTTTAGAATAAACCAGTCGAAAATGTTTATTAGTAGGAAAAGTAAAGTTTATAACGGAAGTTTTATTGGTTTATTGCAGTCTATTCGAAGCGTGAAGAACTTATTACGGAGCCAATACCGTCAGCAAAAACAGTTAACTATACATGCCACGTGAATAAACACTGTTAGTTTTTGGAGACGCTTCATTAGTTAAACAAGATTTACCACATCGCTACCGCTTTCTGGAATGCTAGAACATAAACTGGAGTAAAAACCAGGGTTATGTAAATTCCTAAAGCCTTTATCATTTATATCTATGCAATATATCCCGTATCTGATGAGAACTTTCTTTTTAATGGTAAAATAAGCTAAAACACGCAGTAATATAATAGATTAAAACCTAAACATAACTTGCAATTTTGCAGACTTCATAGTGCTTTTTTACAAACGTTACGTGGCTTTTTTTAAAAGAAGACATTTATTAATAGAAGTACTTATATAAACAAAACTATGTAAGTGAATGCATAGTGTCAAAACAACTAGAATCAATAGCCACGTCAAGGTAGGTTTTAGAAAGTAACGAAGCATTGAAAGTTTTTATGTGACGAAAAATTCTGCCAGCTGTGCCTATGCGGCAATAAAATTATGATTTCGTAACGAAAAAAACTCCGATATGTAAGTTACTTACATGCAAAAACACTTAAGTCTGATTTTTATGTTATTACAGATTTTATATCGAAATTATTCAGTAGATGTTGTGAAGAACAGTCGAACGAAAGATTTGCCAGTGATCCTCATTTCGCCAGTGACTTGATTAGGCCCTAAACACGACATAGACTAAGCGCATATCAAATACTTACTAATTTCTAATCAAACTCAAAAATAATGATAAAACTATTTTTATCTTGACAAAGTATTTATAACGCGCGCAAACTAAGGCGAAATGGCTTCATGAAGATAGAAACTGCAACTACACCGTATGGTACAGTTAAAGTCAAACGTAGCAAAATATCGTGAAAAAAGACTATGTGGTCTTTAATTCCGTCTTCTATCAAGTGATGAAAAAAAAGGGGGCGAATAAATAATACGTTTAAATAAACGAATTACTTATTCGCCCCCTTTTTTTTAAAATGGTGAAGGTTAAAGTACTTATTAATATAACAACAATAAAGCATAAATTCGTTCTAAGAATTTTAATTAAATCAACGTAAATAAATTGTTTATCATACTCATAAACTTTGAACTTTATTACAAGTAATATTAAATATTAGAAATATTATTTTACTGGCTATATATAACAATTAATTTACTTTGTAACAAAACAAAGCATTTATTATTGTATACAAATAGCTTATTAAGTTTATGTGCAATTCTTGTGATCAGTTATAACTGAATGCCGTCAATTTTGGCCTCGATATTACAATGTTCTAAGAAAATAGAAGGATGTAATTGTATAAGGGCCGTTAAAGTTAAATTATGAATTTGTATTAGATCATGATGACGTTGTGCAAAGCAAATACTATCCTTCTATGATGTTCATAAGAATTATTTATGATGTCTTTAGAAAATACACGCAGTGAAATAATATGTACTTTTGGAAAACTAAATTTTTTGAAAATCCATTTACTTGTTTTCCGATCCTGTTTCATTTTGGAATTAGTATAACACATATCGTAACTATATGTCACGTATTTTTTTTTAGAATTCACGGCTTTTGTTTAATTTTTAATTAGACACTTCACCATCAATCTTGTGATTCAAGATTAACGACATGGATAAAAGGTCACCGAAAAAAGGCTCCGTATGGTGTGTCATATAATTATATTGTCACATAAAAAAATACTCAGACGTTGTCAAGGCTTTTTAGTTTGTATCTACCATTTTCTACATTCAAAATGAATTGATCTACCGGAGTAGATTTAAATCATACTAATATTATAAATGCGTGTTTAGATGCATGCATGGATGTTTGGTAGCTCTCAATGAAATTTGGCATATATCTAGAGGATAGTCTGGAAGTTCTTCCAGTGTTCACATAGGCTACTTGGTTTTGTTTTTTAAATACAACGCGGACGGTGTCGCGGGCGAAAGCTTGTTATTAAATATTTTAATAACGTATCAGAACCAACAAAAGCTTCTGGGGGTGATTACACCGTTGATATATTTTATTTTTTGATATATGTATTTGTTTTATGCATGTATGATAAAGTAGTCAAATAACCTTTTTAACCTTTACAATGTAAAGTATATAAGTATATGTACGTTAAAGTTTGCTGTATTCAAGATTATTTAAACAGATATGTATTTGTGACTGGAAGATAATGTTTGTACAACTCGTACAAGATTTTTTTGACTCTTATAAATGGATTGTATTAGATAAACATGTTCATTTGGATTTGAAAATCCATTCCCATACTAAATAAATTTTATTGGTACTACAAACAAGTTTCAGTTTCAGTAAGTAGTATTGACAAAACTGAAAAACTATCAGGAGTGCAGATTTATGACGCATGGAATACAATATTTAAATAAATAACGTAAATTGTTATTAAATTTTAATGTTTCTGGAATGAAAACCAAGCGGAAAAATTAAACCAAAGTGTAAATGCTTAATTTCTGCTTCATTTTGTGTAAGAAATATCAAATTTAAATTCGCTTCTATATAAGGTTCTATATTGATACACATATCTCATTTTTACAAATATTCTTAACATAGGAGCAATTTGACTGATGTTAAGTTACATGCAATGTAACAAGAAACGGAAACAGTGAGACGAGCAGTAACCGTAAACACACCCCCGATACTAAATGATGTGTTATTTGCTCCACAGTTTCTACACTTATCCATATATGTTAAGTTTCACACTACACAAAATGTCGGTGTGAAATGTATTGCGATAAGTTCATTTACTTTTTATAAAATGAAGTAAAGAAAATATTATATAAAAATAATGTTTTGTTGTTAGGTCGAATGGCATATAGTGTTACTACCAACAATATAAATAACTACAGTTGTCCGTTATTCTAAAAGTGTTGATTGAAAATTGATTAGTAATATTATTTATGTAGTACGAGTTGTTGCCCGCGACTTCGTCCGCGTGGTATTTATTAGAGAACATACAAACTATATAAATAACAAAAAGCTACATATCCCTCGGGAACCCGACATTTCTCGGGGATGAACCTCATCCCATGTGTACTCCAGACCTTGTTTTATATCTGTGCCGAATTTCAATAAGATATGTTGAACCGTTGCAGAATGATCGAGTAAACATTAAAAAACTAAATTAATGAATCCCACGGGAACCGTAACTATTCCCGGGATAAAAAGTAGCCTATGTGTTCTTCCAGACTATGCTCTAAACCTGTGCCAAATTTCATAGAGATCCGTTCAGCCGTTTAGGCTACAAACGATAACAAACATCCATCCATCCATCTATCCATCTATCCATTCATCCATCTAAACTTTCGCATTTATAATATTAGTAAGATTATTATTTGGTGTTTTGGGGGCATCCACTAATAATAATTGATAAATAAAACAATTATGAAAACTATATACAAATATTACAGTTGTTAAATGTAACGCAAAAATCGCGAAAGCAAATAGCATTAGACTCATGTATAAATAAACATTAGTGTACAGAGTACAATGCACGTATCCACAATATTAACTGAAAGCATCACGAAATCATGATAGCAAATATGAGCCGGACATTTATTGTAAGTTTGGATCACGATCTTCGCCTCCAATGTTTATCATGGTCATTATCGTTGGCGGACTGCGTCGGTTCAACGCACCAGGTTCCCGTCTCACTACAATTTTGATAACACAGTCACTATTCAATTTCTCTTTAAATCGTACTAGCTTTTGCCTTCGACTAGATTAAAAAAATGACAAAAGTGAGTATGCCTATGTGTTCTTCCAGACTATCCTCTACATCTATATACCAAAATTCATCAAAATAGGTTCAACCGTTTAGGGTACAAACTCTAACAAACATCCATCCATCAATCTAAACTTTCACATGTGTATTGTATGATAGTATGATACAGTATGATTAATAATGACCCATTTGAAAATAACAAAGTAATCTGACAAATGATGAGTATAATGTTGCACAATTATAAACCTAGTAATTTTCTACTTTACAACCATGCATAAAATACAGTAGTCTACATTTTAGTATTCCTTGTATTTATGTAAACAAAAATGTAACGCTCCTTTGTGCTAGCACGCATTTTGATAAAAGCAAATCCCTAAGTACAAGATTAATAACTATTACCGTAATGTATTATTTTATAATGTCTATGGTCTATTTTATTAGGTAAATTAAATCATTATCCTCCATTTAAAGTAACATTCATGTTATTTACTCATATTATATTGTAGACATTCATGACGTTCATGACATACGAGTATACATAATTACAGTATCTGCTTAAGCCGCTGCGCTGCGTTATATACTTTCTTGTTATATACTTGTGCGTGTGTAGACAAAACTTAGACTATACAGTTCAACTGACAGTTGAAATTTTGCCTACACACTCAGTTTTATCTGAACAGTTTGATTGTTCAGATA